AGTTTTATATGAAAGTTATGTTGAGAAGTATAATGATTATAGCATAATGAGTGCTAACTTAAATGAAATTAAGGATGTCATCAAGTCGACAAGTTATTAAATTGTTTTGGAACTTACTTTAATATAATATAAGCAATGGAAAAGTTTTCTATTTACTAGACTAATTAGAATTGTAATTGATACACACTATCTTTTAACAGTAGAACTACTGAAAAAAAGATAGGATGTATCAATTACAGTTTTAATTGGTCTAGTTATCAGAACAGTCTAACTTTTACATTTTACAACACTAACTTTTACAAAACAATTTTATTATAATAGTATTTACTATAGTAATAACTTTTACAAAAAAAATAATATATATTTTTTTAATAACAAAATATATCTTGTAAACTTTTAGTTCCGCTTTTAAAGTACCATCATAAAAAAAAAAAAAAAAAAAAACATTTAAATAATGGCAATTATGGCAAAACGACTTTCGGCTCTGTATCCAATGCAATCGGGCCAGTGCTGGCCCAAAATCAAATGCCGTCGTAATGGCTCACGACTACTCGCCAGAGTTCTGGCATTTCGTCGCACGCCGCTGCGACTTCTTACGATGATTTACCGTACATAAAAAGTTGCTTGAGTCACTTGCCAGAATCGCGCCAGTAATGGCCCGTTACTAATATAGTCGCAATGGCGTGCGATGATTCGCCAGAGTTCTGGCCCGGAGTCGTGTGCTGTCTGGGAAGTTGCTCAATCTGGAGTAGTGTTTATATGAAAATAAGAGTAAACTCAAAAATAAAGAAATCTAAATTTAGTTTAAAAAAAAAGTTAGTAGCTAACTTATTTGAAAAATAAGTTTAAAAAATCAACATAAATAACCGCTTTAAAGAAGCGATTTTTTTGTAGAATTACAAAGAAATGCATCATTAAAAGTAAGTAAACGTAAACAAAACTTTTCTGCATTAAGATAAAGTTTTCAAGCTATCAAGGTGAAACTTTTTTTTTTTCTAACTTTAAAACAAGAATGTCTGAAATTTTTTTTTTAACTGTTCATCTAAATACAAATAAGTTGCAACATTTAAAACCATGTCTTTGTTATAAACGTTTTATTTACACAAGTTCATCTAATCATATGGCTTTTATGTACGACTACCCATTTTTGCAGGACCCAAACATTTTTAAAAAACTGATGGGTAAACTACGTTTTATTATATATGAAAATACGCTGGAAAATGTTTTACACCAACACTCATTTTAAAAATTCATTAATTATAACTCATTCTAGTTTATGTTTCATAATGAATTATATGAAAAAAAAAAAAAAAAAATTAAAATAAGAAAATCGGAAAGGCTAGCATTTTTAAATTTTGTACATTACAGTTTTATAGACAATAAAGGTACTCCATAAATTACGTCACGCAATTTTTGACCAATTTTGACCTCATCCCCCCCCCTTCGTCACAAAATTGTAATACTTAAGAATCAAGTATTGTATGAGTCGTCACAAAACCACCGACCTTACCCCCCCCCACCCCCCTATAGCGTGACGTAATTTATGGACGAGCCCTTAGAGCAATTGATTTTGCAAAAAAAAGTTGAAACTCGCTGATCTTATTTTGTTGAAGTGAACATTAGTTCACTACAACAAAATTAGATCACTAAATACAAGCATCACTAAACATTGTTGCTTGTATTAGTAGGGTTTGCAATCCCGGAACCCGGGATCCCGAAATCCCGCGATCCCTTTTTAATTAATTTTTTAACCCTGAATTCCCGGGATTATTTTAAAAATATCCTGGGATTTTGAATTTATAAAACTACAATTAATGGGTGCGTTTAAATTTTTTCACATAAAACATAAAGTAACAACAAAACTATAAAATTTAGTACCAATGCAATGCAATATTTTCGTTATTAATTTATAAGTTTAAAGTAAGTTTAATCAGTCTAATATATTGTGACAATTACTGAAGTGTTTATTAGGTAATAGTAAGAAACTAATTTTAATTATTAAAACTAAATTATAATAATATTATATATAATAAAAATAATAATAACAATAATGAGAAAAAAATTAAAAAATTTATTTGTACTGATTTATATTGTGTTTTTGTAATAATAGAGTGTCTTTATTTAAATTTATTGAACTTTAATTTATTGAATTCCCCTTTATTTATTAAAATCCCCTTTATTCATTAAAACTTATTGAATTCCCCTTAATAAGAAAGTAAATAAATTCTTATAATTTCTTTGATTTGTCAAATTAAGATACTATGTCAAATTTCATATCATTCAACAGCAAAACCCCTATATGAAAACATTTTCTGCGCAACAAAGAAAGTGAAACAGCAATGTGTAAACTAAGCTGTTGCAAAAAGTGTTGAAAATTATGGGGGAATCAACAAAAGCTCTTCATTCTCATCTTCTTCAGTTACATAAAATAAATTTAAAAGCAGAACTGGCGGCGCGTTCTCCGACATTGGAAGAACAACAGAGTAAAAAAAGTAATACTAGTTCTTATTTTTCATCAAATATAAATAAAGAAGACAGCTTGTCTGAGGTGCTTGCAAGATTAACAGCTAAAAACGGGATTTCTTTTAGCGTAACATTGATATACGTGCTGGACTGGCTATGAGGCGATTTGTCAACATACCTAAATCTCCAATCACTGATAAAACACTGATATTGTGTTAGAGTTTATGTTAACTAAATTAAAAGAGCTGAAAACTACAACAAGTTGTCAACTTTTTAATCCATTAGCCTTCAGAATCAAAAAGCGAAGGACTCAATTAAGTAGTCTACAGCACTATCTACATTACGGAGAAAACAAATTAATGTCCATAGGTAAAGTAGATTAAATGTAACAAATTTAAATCACCCAACAATTTCCTTGGATAACGTTGAAGATTTAGTAAGTCAAGAAGATGACGAAATACCGAAAAGCGCAGATAATAAAATGCCGAAAATTATTAGTGAGCAGCTAAATGAAGCCCTAGAAAAAGGTTTTCTAGCAACACCTAAAAATTCTTTGTCAAGATTAGGCGAAACTTTCACTTCTAAATTATCGAATGAAATGTCATTGTTAGAAAGTGGTTGTACTCGGGGTGATTTTCTTCAGAAAGTTTATGATTTTTTAATGACGATTAAACCAACGAGCGTAGAATCAGAAAGAGCATTTTCCTCCGCAGGACTATTTTGTAAAAATAAAATAAAAAGACGCTTAAGTGATAATAGTTTAGATAGTTTGAGCTTTCTGCAAGCATATTTTCTAAAAACAAAATAAATAACTTTATTCACAAGTTTTATTCATTTTACTGCAAAATACTTAAATTATGGCTTTTCTTTCAGTTTTAAAGCATATTAGAATGCCGGGATTTCCCGGGAATTAATTATACAACCCCGAATCCCGGGAATAGAAATTTTCCGGGTTTTTGCAAACCCTATGTATTAGTTTACTACACCAAAGTAGGGATGCCATCATAGAGACGCTTCAAAAGAAGTTTTTTTTCTACTTTAAGCTGAAGTAATAGCTGGTGCAAGGTTTATTTTATGGAAGGAAAGCAAATGCGTATGGAGACCTTTCGCTGAGCCATCTTCAATTTTAATTTTTTTTTGCCGTCAGTCTACTGACCCATAAAAGTCTTTTCTTTCTCTTCTCTTAAGAATGTTTCCAAACAACAGAACTTTTTTTTTTTTTGTCGTATTCCATGTAAAAAGCTAATTATAAAAATTTTTTTTGTTTAAATAACTTGCAATTTTATAATTTAGTTAAAACTGATACGATAAAATAGTCACAAATAACATCTATTTGAGATAAAAACTATAAGAAATTTGAATGCGACTAAGCAACAATACGTTTAAATATCTAATTGCAATATTCAAAAATATTATTGCAAGAATTTCGAACAATCGAACAACAAAAAAAAACACCAGGAAACTACAGTATGAGAATAGTCAAATTTTAACCGAAGAAATTTAAATTTAAAAATATTTAACCGAAAACAATTTCAAAATTTAAAAAAAAATTCAAGGTGCTGTTTTAAGATTAAAAAGTCAAAGCCCGGGATAAAACGCATAATCCCGGGATCGTTAAGAACCGCGATTTCCTGGGACTCCCACCCCTAATTTTGAGTTTACCTCACTTAAAAGCTTTAGGAGCTTGTTAATTATAAATGGATATTAAAACAGGTATAACTATGGCTTCTTGGTAACAATAACGCTTTGAGTAGGTAAATATACAAAATAAAAAATTGCTTACATGAATTGACATAATATTGAATCATGCACATATTTAAAAATTCTACATAAATATTGAGCCTAGTATAAATAGTAAAAAAGAATAAAACTTTGCATTTGAACGCCGTAAAAAAGAAAAAAAAAAAAGGTTAAAAAAATTGTAAAATTATTTATATAATTTAGTCGCTAGAATTTATTACTTAGGCAAGAAAGACAAATTAGTTTTGTTTTACGGCATCGTGAGCGATTTAAGAAATGTACAAGGCGTAAATGTCAATAAGCCATCAAACAGCAGATCTTTAGGGTTTGTATAAAAATATAAAAAGATCAAAGTAATATATGAAATCTGATGTATTAGATTTAGATTTAACATCTGCTCTGTGGAGCAGGAATCTGTTTACATACTTATGTGAAAATGAACGTCGTATCTTAAAATTTGATTTATCTAGTTAGTAAAGCGTTATTTTTTTCTCAGAACCTTTATCTAAAAAATATAAAATCTTTATCTAACGCTTTATACATGCGTTTGTTAACGTGTCACATTTCTTGTCTTTAGCTATGTGTTTTTATGACTTTAGTTAGTTGAGCGAGTTGTGTCTTTAATAATGTATTGTATTAATTATTGTCTGTATGTTTTTAGATTTTTCTTATGTAGACATAACTTGTAATCGTTCACGATAAAGTAAAACAGAGAGTCAAAACTCTGGTGATTAAAGCAATGAAAAAAAAAAAAGAACGATCAATTAAGCAACAGAAAATTAAAAAAACAAAAGAAAAACAAAACCAAAATAATATTTTTGAAAATACTGTGAAAGCATTTAAAAAAACGAAACAAAAGCAAAACCTTAAACATCAACATTGAGTAGTTTATAGACATAAAAAGTATTGTTAACAAATACTTCTTTAAAAAATCTTTGAAATGAAGAGTCGCGCTTGATTGCATCACAAAATCTTGGTACTTTATAAAGTGGATTCAAGTCATGACCGTTTTCAATATCTAGATTCTTTGTGAGCGTACAAGAAGACGACGAATAGCATATGCTATTTTCAAGAATAATATAGTTAGTCCCGTGTTTGCGCAAAATTCGATAAACATCAATAGGAGTTCTTCGGGCGTATATTTGATAAAGCTAAACAAATCAAATTTGAATATATATATATATACACACACAAAAATAAATAATAATAGTTTAAACAAATAAAAACCAAATAAATATAGATAAATTATTTGGATTGTAAATTATTTCAAAATTTATATAGTTTATATAAAGCATTTATATAATAAAAAGTATATAAATGAAATAAAGTTTAATAATATTAACAATAAATAAATTAAATATTATTTAAAAAAATAATATTCAATAAAAAAAAAAAAAATTATAAAAATAACAGAGCATAAAATCATTTCAAAATATAAAAAAGATCTATTAGAAAGTTTGCACATACTTAAAAAAATATAATTGATTAATGTACATTATATTAGACGATTTGAATTTAGATTGTTTTCTATACCACATCAATAACAACATTAAAAGATTTTAAAATGGCATATTTGAATATATTGCGTTTCCTTTGATTAGTAAACCGACAAGATTTACTTTATAAAGTGCCTCTTTAATTGATAATGTTTTAAGCACTGATGAATTCTTAAAAAAGGCATAACTAAAAATAACATACCTGATCATTTTTCTATTTTCTTTTCTATAAATATAGATAAAAAATTACTACCCATTGAAAAACGAGTTTTTTAAAAGCATAATTTTACAAACGATACAGCTTTTTTTTAAAACACCTCAAGATAGTTGTTACGTATTTTGAGAAAAAACACCTCAAGATGTTTGTTACGTATTTTGAGAAAAAACACAATAAAAAAAATAATAGCAGAAACTCTTTGTAAAGCGTTTTTTTAAACTAATGATTTTTATGAATTTCTTCATTATTCTTCAAAAATATTTATTCAATAACGTTTTTACGTTTGAAACAAACCTGAAGGATTACCTTAAATCTTTAAAAGAGCAGTTAGCCTTACTGGATTGGAGCTTTATTATCTCTTCTGATGACACATAGTTTAAAACTAATAAAACTTTGTATGATATTTACAACACTAATTTCCCTGAAATTAATTTAAATGTCAAAGCTAAAAGTATTAAATCGTCTTGGATTAAAAAGAGTTTTCGGAAGACTTCTAAAACCAAACAAAGGTTACACAGTAAATTCTTAAAATATAAAACAAACGAAAATAGAGCTACACAATGGAAAAATGTGTCCGTGTTTTAAAAAAAAACGCGCTAGTGTATAAAGATGTTGATAATACGAACATGAACACCTATATAGTTGTTTATGTTCTTATAATAGATGCAGAAGAAGAAAAAAAATTCAACTATTTAAGAAAAAGGTGTTAGCGTTAAAAATAATGTGTCGGCGTAAAAAGATAAAATAATAAGTGTAAAATAATAAGTGTCGGCGTAAAATAATAAGTGTCGATGTAATAAGATGCTAAATGCGTATGAATTGTTAAGAATAAAATGTTATTTATTTAGCGCAAAAAATATTTACAATGGCTTTTCCTTGAGGGAAGGTCATTTGTACGCAAATTCGTTGGTAGTTGGTCATTTCACTACCATCGAATCCATTATGGTCAAAAGCACTTGAATTCTTATCTCATTTAAATTAAATATATGCATACGTATACGTGTGCCTGTGTGTATATATTTTATTTTTGTGTATATATATATATATATATATATATATATATATATATATATATATATATATATATATATATATATATATATATATGCACAGATCGTCATCAGACGTAAAATATAATACAAAAAACCGTTACAAATATTACATAAAAACGTTAAAGAAGACATTAAAAAGAACCATAAATAATATGTAACAACGTAAATATATATATAGCAAATATTATTTAAGTCCGTTTTATAGGATTTTTTTAAAAAAGGGTCACCAACTGCTTGTAGAAAAACAAAAAAAAAGATGTTTTTTAAGTTATAGTCGGTTTCTTTACGAATTTAGTAGACCAGTCGGGTATTTGACACAACTCAGTTGGTTAAATTTTAGTTTTGAGAACCTTTTTTTTTTTTTACGAAGCCAGTCGGTACTTTTTATGGATTCACCCCCCCCCCTCATTTTATTTGTAGAATCGCCTCTGTGTGTGTATGTATATATATATATATATATATATATATATATATATATATATACATTTTCAATTTTGCAATATGTAAATACAATGCATATGTAGGAGTGGATAAGTAAAATTGTGATATTTTTGTCTTATTTTTAAATATAATTCTTCTTGCATAAGTTGTATCCATAATAAAATGAATTTAAAGCATAAATAGTGCATTGGCGTACTAACCATAATCACTTATGATGAGGAACATTTATTTTCTACTTATGATATTTTCTACTTTCTAATTATGATTATGTGTAATTAAGAATTTCCATTAGATAAACTTGATGTAAAAATGTTAGTTGCTGCTTATTTAAAATTTCAAAATCATACAGTATACAGTACGATTTTTTCAAACAATATAAATGGTGATGATTAGTTTCAAATCTTATGAAGCGTTCAGTTAACCCATAAAAATACATCAAATATTTAAAAAAAAAATAAAACGTGTAATTTTTTTAACTGTAGCTATAAACAAAAAAGAATTAAAATTTCATTTTGAAAACATTAAACATGAACTTGAATGATTTCTTCCTTGTAACATTTGGAACAATGATGAAACCAATTTGCATATTGATTCTGGACATAAAAAAGTTGTTATGACACTTGAAATGAAGTATCCTGAAAAAATAATTTTTCATTGTGATATTTTGTGAATATGATTTAAAAGAACTTTTGACATCATACACAGTTTTTAAGTTATTCATTTATTTAAAAAACTCATGGTTAAAACATGTTTCAAAGATTTCTCGATTTAATAGAACCAAACTTGGTTGATTTGATTAAGTCAGTTTTAAGGATTGATAAATTTGAGCGTTATTACCATACATAATAAAACAAATAAAAAAAAGCATTAGTAGACAATTTTTCCTCCCATTTGAATGATAGTGTTATTAATGTTTGTAAAAAACATAAATAGAGGTAGTGATGTGAAAAAATTATCAAAATTGAACGAGGAAAATCTTCAATTCAAGTTCGTTAGTCAGCACAACAGTGTTTAATTGTAAAAAAGGTAAAGTTGTAAGCAGCACTAAAAAAAGAAAGGTTAAGAAGACCATGTTTACTTTTGAATATTTAAATATTTGCGTCACAAATGCATTATTCAAACCTTAGGGTATTGATGTAACATGAACACATTTTAACCGCAACACCTATTAGGTGTTAATTCGTCATGAGCACCTTTTTTTTCATGAACACCTTTTTACAGCAACACCTATTAGGTGTTAATGCATCATGAACACCTTTTTTTTTTCATCAACACCTTTTTACAGCAACACCTAATAGGTGTTCATATACTATCACGAGTCTGCACCTTTTTTCTTTAACATGAACACCTTTTTCTGTAACAGCGTATACATAAAAACTACATTACTTTAAACTTTTTGAGAGCCTTAAGAAAAAAGAAATTAAAAAAAAAAGATTATTATAACACAAAAAGTACAAAAAAAAAACTATTAAACAAATTTACTAGATAAACACAAAGCAAATTCTTAACACACTTGGTTTATAATAAGAGACATTACTAATAGCAAAAAAATTTACATCCCATTTTTTGCCAAATACAGTTAAACTTTATAATTTTTTTTATTTGCTAAAAGAGAGATTACGTAAGAATTTACAAATCTTGTTAATGTCTAATGCTAATAGTTTAATGATCTAAACCTTTACTTGAGCTTTTTTGAATTAACTTTCAAGAGTTTGAAAAATTGCCTTTAAAATATTAAAATCTAAAAAAGATATAGGCCCTGATGATGTTAATGACAATATTATTATAAGCTCTATAACTTTTTTAAAAGATATACATCCTAAAAACAGGAAAATTTTCACATTCTCTAAATTTAGCAAGTCATACCAATATTAAAAGGTGATGATATTGAGAACATTAATAAATATCATTCAATTTCACTACTTTTTGTCCTAAAAACAGGAAATTTTTCACATTCTCTAAATTTAGCAAGTCATACCAATATTAAAAGGTGATGATATTGAGAACATTAATAAATATCATTCAATTTCACTACTTTTTGTATTCTCTAAAATTTTAGAAATGTACAACAAAATTTATAAACATCTTACTATCAACAATATATCATACAGCAACCAATATGGATTCCAAAAAATAATTCTACTGAGCATGCAATTCTTCAACTAACTTAAAAATATTTCTGACACATTCTTCAACTTACTTAGAAGTATTTCTGACTGAAAATTCCTAATTGCTTTGGATGTTATTATTGATTTGACAAAAGCCTTTTTAAAAAGTTAAAGTGGTACAGAATTAATGGGAATACATTAACTTGACTAAAAAGTTATTTAAATAATCGAAAGCAATTATTTTATGCAGATAAGAGCACATCATCTAAATTCAAACATAAAGTTAAAGATTACACATTGAGTTTCTCAAGGATCAATATTAGGACATTTCCTATTTCAAATATATATCAATGATCTATCCGAAGCTTATAACCTATTGACAAATATATTTGCTAATGATTCTAACTTATTTCTCTTTAATAATAACTTATTTCTCTCTCATAATAACATAATGACACTTTTTAGCAACATGAACATTGAAGTTGTCAAAATTTCTGAATGGTTCATATTAAACAAACTATCACAAAATTGATAAAACTAAATGGATGCTTTTTATGATTAAAAAGCACCTGTTACATAGTAACTTTTCTTTGTCAATAATACGATTATTAAGAGTTTAAGTGACAAGATTTTTTCTAACGAAAATCTTACATGGTAAACCACATTTCAAACTATTGCAGTAAAATTTCAAAGAGTATAGGTATTTTAAACAAAACATAAAGTAATCTTAATAAACGTACATTGACTATATTATTTTTCATTTTCTTACTAATAATGCAACCTAATAAAACTAATAAAACTGTTTAGGTTTATTTTTATTAGTTTTTGTTAGTTTAATTTCAAGCACCATTTTGCTCAGGCCAAGTCTTATTTATATGAAGTCAAAGCTCTCAATATATATGAACTAAATGTTTTTAATATTCTTTGTTTTATGTTTAAATGTAAAACACACTAATCACTTGTTTCTTTTTGTAACTTGTGCTTACAAAGAGATATAAATAAAAAGTTTTTAAGGAATGATTTTTGAAACTAATTTTGGAAAGTTATATATTTCAATTCATGGACTATTTTTATGGAACAATATATTTAAATACTAAAGATTTTTCTTCAGAACATAATTTTGATTCCTTTAAATAAAATCATAAAAAGCTCATTTTTTCAATTTAAAATATACTAGTTTACATTTAAATCATTGAAAATACCTTTTCTTTTATTTTTTATACCAACAGTTATTTAATATGAATTTAATATTATTTAATATTTATAATCAACTATGTAATTAATATTTTATTATAATTTTTTTAAATTTAAATATTAATGTACTTTTTATTAAAAAGAAGTTATTTAACATTTTATTGTTAGCAGCTCTCTGTAATAAGACCTAATGTTCTTCTTTGAGATTTTGTAATAAGACCTAATGTTCTTCTTTGAGTTTCTACATTCTTTATTTATTTGTTATTATTTTTCTCTTTTTTTTGTCAGAATCTTAATTTCTAATTATTTCTTTTTTTACACTTGTATATAAGTATTTCTAATATACATATAAAAAAAAGGCAGAAAATAACAAAACTTACATAATAACAGCTCATGTAACATAAGTAGGTGTGAAAACTTTATTTATTATATTGAATATATATGTTTAGATATACTTAATAAACAATTTTTAAATTTTAAAACTGCACATATAAAAAAATTGATTTATCTTTTTTTTATTTTTATTTTGAATAAAGTTATCATGGACAGATTTTGTACTTAATATAAAGTTTTCTTCAAAATTTTTTTGTCTAATTGAATAATGTTTTAAAGCAACATAAGTCTTTTAAAAAAAAAAAGTTAAAAAAATTATACAAAAAAATGAAGGAAGCCATTTTTAAGAATATACAGAACAGATTATTAAACCTCTTTTGTACGCTGTCTGAGAAATTTATTTTCGTAATGTGGATGATTAGTAATTGGACGACTTGTACAAAGTTTTACACCAGCTAATAATTGCATAGTACCAGTAAATGAAGATTCAGGAGGAGTAGAAGTGCTAAAAAACAATATACTGATAAGTTATGAACAAAAAAAAATATATATATATAAAATAAGTTTTTTCTAATACAAATGATTTTGAAATTAAATATTTTGAAAAACTGTTAAAATAGCTGAAAATATAAAATTTTACTTTATCCAATTCATAAGAGCAACAGTGTCTGGATCATTGAACTGAAACAAATTTGACAACTCTTCTTTCATTCCAGGTAGTTTCTAAATATTTATAAAAAAGAATAATAAAAATATGTCTTTATTTATTTACTTTATATATATTAACCTTTCTTTAATATATATTTTGTAGATTAGACTGAGTATTCATGCTACTACTAAAAACAATAAAAGGTTTATGAACTCTTCTTGCCGTTACTCACAATAATATTTTTACATCAGTTTAGAGTTTCCTTCAAGGCTTTCACCGCAGCTAAAGAGCTGCACTTGCCTTAACATCAGTTTAACCTCATGACCTACCCTAACATAGGATCAGTTTAACCTCATGATCAATATTTACATATTTTTAGTTGAACTTTTATTTTAAATTGGTTTAAAATATTTAATAAATTGATAATTGCCATTTTACAGTTTTTCTTGTTGATTGCTTTTATTTTTGAAATAAGAATTTAGAAACTCCTTTTTCAGAAAAAGAGAAACAATAATTAAAAAAAAATTAAAAAAAAAAAAATATTAGATTAAATGTTATATTAATGAGGAAAACAACCGTTGCATTTTTCAATTACTTTAATGAAGTAGTGAAGTAATGAAATTTATCAAACAATATAACTGAATAATAATAATAACAACAACAACAATAATAATAATAATAATAATAATAATAATAATAATAATAATAATAATAATAATAATAATTAGATTAACAAACCTTCTGTACTAATAGTGCAAGAATAATAATGGGTGCAGAATGGTTGATAAGCCAGATCTAAAAAAATCTTAATTCTCAATAAATAAGTTTAGAACCACAAGCAAACTTTAAAAATAAACATGTTTTAAATACTTTTAATACTATTCAAAATATGTAAAACATTTAAAAGTGTTTAACAAGTGTTTAACAACACTTACAAAACTTTTCAACTTGTTTATCTACTTTACCAAGATTTTTATTTTGAAGTTAAATATTTGAAATAATCGTAACAATAATTTAAAATTATTAAAACAAAAAAACAAAAAACACCCTTGGCCTTGGTGAAATTAATATAGGAAAAATATATATTAATACTTATATTAATAAGCTTCAATATTATCAATTTATACATTAGTAGGAATAAAAAATGAGCAATAGTTACTAGGCCATAATTCTTTTTTATACACTGCATCATGTATAACTGATATTTCACTGCGATGTATAAATGTTATATATCAATAATGTGGATATGTGCTGTACAACTATGTAAATACGTGCTGTACAACAATATGCATATGTGCAACTTTGTAAATATTTACATAGTTGTAAATATTTACAACTATGTAAATATTTACAATTTATCTTATTCTTTTATTAATTACTATCTTATTAATAAAAATCTTATTAATTTATCTTTACGGAAATATTTGAATATATTAAAGTCATCCATACTCTAAAATGAAATTATTATTAAAAAAAAGTCAGCAACATCATTTTGTTTTATATCTGCTGACTTCATGCTAATGTTGTTGGATTTGATTATTGCATCATGAACTATTTGTAGAAGAAATGTATTGCAACTCTAAAAAAATTCACAACTTTTTTTATGTGTGCTGGCCATAAAAAACAAAAAGAATGCAAATCAAAACTTATAGTGTTAACAATAACAAACTGAATTTGCGACATTAAATGAAGAAAGTACAATAAGAATAAAAGATCATTGTAAACTGAGTTACTAGTTAATACAGTTATCTGCCAAGCCAGGTGATGCGATTAGTTGTATTTGTAAACAGAAAGATTAGTATGATTTGTAAGTCCTTCCTGTATGATATTTAACTACCAGCATGAGATATGATTATAGAACAAAGTACAATATGGAAAGCTCTAGTCATAAATCATAGAGCCTATAATGGATTAGACATATGCGTGGAGAATTTCTGATTTTAAACATTACTCTTATTACTAATTCTTTATATATACACTTGTTATTCTTTATATATATATATAATATATACACTAAGGTCCACTTAGTTACCAGTATTCTTATAATCTAAGAATTTTTTAAGATAACAAAAATGCACTACACTAACATAAAAAACACATTTGATGATGAATACCATGTTTTACATTATATTTTCAAAAATATTTCAATGTAATATTAACTCATGTTATTATTAACATATTTTTTATTCAAGCTATGATATTCAAAGGAAAAAAAAAATCCAATTGGCGTCATTTGTTTTTTTGTTTGTGTAAAAGATCGATTATGTAAATAAACAAAAAAATCAATGATGCCATGTACTTGAACAAATACACGCTTGAAAAAATTATCAAGCCTGTAGATTGCAGCGTATATTATACTGACATTTTGGCCTAGGACAAAATGGAGAAGGTGAGCTTCGACTAAAATAAAAAAGTTAGTTTTTCTTGGCATGGATTTATTCTTTTTTTTTTAATCAAAAAAAATTTAGCCCAAACTTTTTTTTAATCATTCTCTTTAATATGAACACGGCATGTCTCAGAGGTTTAGATCCCTTTAATAAGATTAAATAGAATTCTAAAATAATAATATTTAAGGTTTTAATAAAAATAATAATACTAAAGGTTCTAATAAAAAGTAAAAAATACATACAAAAACACTGTTGACTTTAAACTTTTCTAACAACCATTTCCAAGCATTTTTGTTGCAGAACAGACCAGCTGCTACAACAGTCATATGTGGAAACCATAAAAATTTCATTCTCTGTGTTGACAATGCCAAAACAGCATAAAATATATTAAGAATAACATTGAAAACAATCTCAGGATGATTGTACAAAACACCTGGGGCTCCCCTAAAAAAGTGATTTTGAAATTAATTTGAATATATGGGTCAGATATCTCCAAGTAAAAGTTTCACCCAAAAATTTTGTTTTGTTTACAAACTCTAAATTTTTAAAAGCAATTGTTAAAACTATCCAGCAATAACAATTTAAAACCAGTGGTAGTGGTTACCAAGCCCTTGCTAAAATTGCCAAAAAAATTGCCAAGAGGCTTCTGACTCCTCTACCAACATTAACTGCTGGAGATATCAAAACTGGAAATAGATTTGAACCAAAAAATCTCAAAAGACCTTGTTTTGTAGAGAAAGCCAGTTTTTAGCTTTCGCAATTAATTTATGTCATCATTTTAATTAACTCAGTTAAACATTTAAATAATGTAAAATTGAACTTTTAACATTTTAAAATATATTTTATACATTTTGTAAATAAGTTATTTTGATTTTGGCCAAAATTTCAGAATAAGTTTTGGTAAAAACCAAAAATTTAAT